TGATCAGGGTCGACGACTCCATTTTGCAGGACCCCCAAGTCGCCAATGCAGTGAGTGAGACGCTGCATTTCCAGGCCGACATGGTGGCTCACGGGGGGCGATCAACGAACGTGTTGTTTCGCTCTATCATCCAGAATTCCCTAGTGGTAAGTTCAAATCTTGGGACTTTAAGTTTTATCTTCCTTGCTTCCTTTGAACACTCCGGGAGGTCTCCTGTTGTTAGGAACCTGAAAAAGGGATCAATCCAGCTGGGCGGCTTGTGTGTGTCCTGGACGGCCATTGCCTCAGGGGCATGGTCTATGCAGGATATGGGAAGATATTCTATGGTGATCCTGCGCGACTGAGAGGACTCCACTGCCAAGGCTAGGCAAGCCAGGGCGTCGGCATGCGTGTTCTTGTCTCGGGACACTTGTTTGATCTCAATCATTCCGAATCTTCGGATTACAGTTTTCGCCTGGTGATAGTAAGCCTTCATCCTAGGGTCCCTTGTCTCAAACTCTCCGTTAACTTGGTTGACTACCAACATGGAATCACAATGCACGATCAAGTCCGTAACTCCAGTTGCCTCAGCTAACCGAAGTCCTGAGATGAGGGCCTCGTATTCAGCTTCGTTATTAGACGCTTTGAATCCCAGCCGAACGGCCTGCTCCTTGACCATCCCATCTAGAGAGATCAGCAAGATACCGATCCCGGACCCCTTATTATTTGACGAACCGTCCACACATAAAAGCCATGGTGATCCCTCGTAATTCGTTGGAGACGCTATGTCGGGAGGAGGCGGTCTTTCTAGAACTTACCACCAGGGAATTCTGGATGATAGAGCGAAACAACACGTTCGTTGATCGCCCCCTGTGAGTCACCATGTCGGCCTGGAAATGCAGCGTCTCGCTCACTGCATTGGCGACATGGGGGTCCTGCAAAATGGAGTCGTCAACCCTGATCACACGGTTCATATGATCAGTGGCTCGAGGATTCCACTCCGCGGCTTCCACTGTCTGCGGAAGGGGAGGAGTCTGTTGTTGTTGAGGAGCAGGAGGTAACCCACGGCCTCTCTCACTTTGCTGCTGAGCGGAGGGGGCCCTGGATCCCCTGCCAAGGCCGTCGTGCCTATGTTTGACCCTCCTCTCCTCCTCTACCTGAGGATCCCGGTCACGCACTTGACCTCGACTGACGACTCTTGAGGATGGGGTGGCGCTGGTCCCTTCAGATGAGGCCCCACCGGTCGATCTTCTCCCCTCCCAACAGCAATGACTTGCCTCTGCCTCAGGAACCCTAGATCAATGCGGGGCGTGCTGGACATAGCTATCTCGAGGGCGTCCTCGACGTCTAGAGATTGTAGGATTTGGAAGTCCGGCCACGAATCTCTCCCCGAAGTCCCCACCTCGGCGTGCGAAGGAACCAAGTCCTCTCTGACCCCGAGCTCTTCAGCTTTACCCTCTACTTCTGCCTCCGTACCCCGGTCAGGGTCTTCCTCCAAGTTCCCCTCGACCTCTTGCCTCACCGTCTGATCGAAGAGTTCAGACCACCGCGAAGGCTCGAAAGGCTGGGAAAGCTGTGAAAACTTTTTATATTCAGGAGTGTAATTCAGGAGGATGTGGGCAATCCGGCCGAGCCCGTCGTCACCAGTAAATCTCCAAACAGTGACTAGGTCCGCAAAGTTCACCAACGACCGAGGTGAAGGAGCTGTTTCCCGAGGGGAGATGTCTGTATACAAACAAAAAGAGAGGGGAGTGAGTCATGAACACATAGAAAAGCTCAAGAACAAAATAATAGACCCAAAGGAACCAACGTACTTGTCGTTCTCCATTCCAAAGGACATAACAAGCCGTTATATTCGGGACCGACACCTCTCTGCCAAGATCCCTTGAAGATAAGTAGGTCATTCTTGTACCCCTTGTCCGAGTCGGGAAGGTGAGTTACGAGGTACATAGATGGGTCCCTGGCTTTGAGGTAGAAGTGTTGTTGAGGCATGACTCTCAAGAGGGAATAGCAAAAAAGGATATCGTTCAGCCCAACATTTACCCCGAGACGCCTACTGAGCTCTAGGACCCCCATAATTATCCTGAAGACATTAAGGCAACACTGTCCAGGGAAGAGGTGGAAATGAGAGAGGAACTGGAGAAGTAGAGGGGGCAAAGGGAACCTAATTCCACCTTCTATGATGGCTTTGGTATAAAAGGGCATTGCATCCTCAGTACCGAGGGTACGAGGGTACACAGCCGGGTTATAATCCTCTACGTCTACATTCGGGGGAATGCTGTACTTAACCCTAAATCTATTAATTTGCTCACCACCTTTTACTTTATACTTCTCTGACCTCGAAAAACTGACCTGAGGATTCTCGGGGACAGGGCGACGACGAGGCATCTCTAAAAAGTGATAAAAAATGGAGGGGATCTTTTCCACGAAGATCCCCAATGAGGCTTCCCGAGGATTGGTCGCTGAATGGCAACCAAAAAACACCTCCAGTTATCGGAGAACCAAAAGAGACAGAAAGGCAAAGAGAGCGAAGATACTGGGACTCGCCAGAATGTAAAAAGAAGTTTTTTCTGGAAAACTTGAATCGACTCCTTTCAGAATGTTCAGAAGCATGGATGGGTCTGCTGGCTTTAAAACTCCGGTGAAATGGTTGGGCAGTTGACAACGGAAGGAAAGGGATCTCCGGCGAAATTTCAGCAAGGGCTCTCTAGAGAAAGTTCGGAATGACGAAATAAGAAAAGAAGATAGGGAGCCCATTTATATATAATACCTATCCCATCATTGGGCGCGAAGAACGAAAAGGCGCATTTAATGCGCACGACGTCCTAAGCAGGGGAAAGCGGCTAGAGGCAATGATGAAGCAGTTGAGGTTGTTGCAGAACCCTTCGTCTCCTTACGACGCGTGTCCTCGGTGTCAGAAGATCGAAGGCTGGGGGGCAGTTGATGGGACATTTCCAAAATACTCCAAGATGAAGACACGTGTCCTCGGTGTCACTAAATTCTTGTTATTGTGATCACGACACGTACCCATCGGTTCACAAGTCCTTCTCCCCCGAGGTACTGGTCGTAGGGATCAATGGCATCCAGTACGTTTACGTACCGACACGTACCCCCTCGGTCGGGGGGATATGATATATCGGTCCCTATGTCTACCTCCTTCTCGGTTCCGAGGAGTACCGTCCAGAATGGCATTCTCTGCTCCCGCAGAGCTATTGATGTATAGGACGCTAGCCTAGGATAGGCTAGGTTAGTCATCATGACCTCGTGTTACACAATTGGTGTCAGAAGGCTCAAGAAGGCAGGGGACACAGCCAATGAGGAATGGACGCGTGGCATACTGTGTCACATCAGAGACAGAAAGACCAGATGCCCTTGCTGACACACGACTTGGGAAAACAAGCATTTAATTACATCATTCCCTTGATGAGACAGCATTTAATGCGGTAAAGCTCGGAAATGAAAGGTAATAAATGTCTCTAAGGCTGGACATTTATTACATCCTCCCCGAGAGAAGCTCATTGAACAGTCGGCAGGCCAATGACACAACCTTGGTTGCTCGAGATCCCGAGCAGTTAAAAGAGAAGACATTCCTCATAGGAAGCCGTGCACACGTTGCCTGTACCTAATAATCACCTACTGACCACACTGACAGCAATCATGAGTTTTTAAGGTATAAATACTCCTCGCAAAAGGCAAGACGGTATGCAACGAAAAACATTTGCTACAAATTATACTCAGTGTTTTCTTCTTCCTCTCTCTCAAAAAACTGACTTGATCGTCAGAGGAGATACGCCAGAAAACACTCTGGCGCCCTTCTAACTTGTCTTTATTTGTTCCATGAACCTTCCTCAGCCTTACTGGATCGTTCCGTTGATCCACGAGAGTCTCCCATTACCGTTCCAAGTTACCACCGGACCTCACAAGTTGTTCCAAGCAGCAGGGTTGACAACTCGACTAACTCATTCGAATTCACCAAGGGAGAGATCTGTTCTCGTGTTTATATTGTACAAGATCCAGCACGCACAGATACCAAACCCTACCCAGTTCTTTCAGAACTATATAAGCTACATGAAGGACCTACTTCCAACGAGTACCTCAAGATAATCTACACACAAATGTAAGTTCCTTGCATCTATGTGGGAATTAGACAAAAAGTATTGGGGGGCATGGCTCCTCCTTCTAAACATGAACTGTTGGGGCCTCCACTATAGCCACTTATTATTAATGGGAGCTTTGCAAACACCCTTTACTACGTCTACTAAAAGCAAAACCTTAAATAAGTAAAACCCAAACAACCGGGACAAATTGATGTTGGTTGAATTTACAGAAATATTTCAGGTAACTTCTTGTGTTCGCATTCTTGGGACTTTAGTGGTCCAGATGCTTCTTGAAGTGGAGCTATTGGTTGTTTAGAATAGTCAGAAGGAAGCCAATGCTTAAATTAGGCATAACGTCTGGAAAGCAAAAGTTTGAAATCATTATCAACTCAACCACTAATTCTTTGGCCAGTTCTCCGCAAAATAGTCATATATGTAAGGAGGTCTTTTCCTATCATGTGATGTCTTCAAGATGGGATTCAGAGTGACAGCAAGCAATAGTCAATTTTTCTGGTGAAAAAAAGCTCTCCTATTGCAAGGTTTTTTGAGCTCTTAGATACCTCCTTTAAAAATTTGGTTATCCTGTATCAATTAGCTCTTGTTCTATGTATGTTTCTCTTCTCAATTTTATACATTCATCCTGCTTCTTTGGAGATAACCACCACCGACTTGCATTTCCTGTCCATTCTCTCCTCTTCAGTGAAATCAAAACAAAATAAGGTAAATATTGTTCTTCAGAAAGAACATCTCACGCTTGTTTGTGCCCTACTAACCATTGATGAAATGTTTTCTCAGTGAACAAAATCAAAACTCAACCTTTACGTAACTATCCAAAATAGACGTAAGGTTAAAGAAAATGGCTTCCTCAACATCCGATTCACTTATTGCGTCTCTAATAATGACACAGAGCACACTTGCAATAAATCATTTGTTTTCGTACCACAGAAATGTTAACTATACATTACAAAAAACAAAGTGAACTTTTGAAAAAATTAGCCTCTCATTCCAGCAGGAACAAAAAAGATAAATGTACTGAATTTTACCTGAGAGAATATTGTCTCTGCCATAAGATAGTCATATCGGAAAGGCACAGGTAGGCCAACCATGTAGGAAGTGCATTCCTTTCGACTAGCTTTGCATGAAGCAAGAAACACAAGAATAAGAAGATGGCATCTAAAAGCCTCAGGTTAAAAATCTAACGCAATTAAACAAACGATAAGAATGATTTGCCACACTTTCTGCATCATAGAAGAGAGTAAAGCACCAAGGTAGTAATATTAAGCTAGTATAGGTATATGGTCAAATATCTAAGGAGTCGATAATGTCTACAAACCAGCCATTCAAGAACAAAAGCACATCCAACAAATACTCTTCCACAACAAAGCGATCTATAGGTTGTAGATCCTGCCATCCAAACAAAAACAAAAGAGTACTTATATCAACAAATAAAGCACATCAAGGTATAAGTGCATTGATAAGCACAATAATGTCATCGTAAAATAATGCGACTCATACATAAGCTTACCCAGTCCAAAGACCTACACGATGAATGGTTTAAAGATCAGGATTCAAGTGGCAACATAAATAAAGATCGCCAAATCTTCATATATTTCAGCACATAAAGACTAAGTAAAAGAAAAACCCAGTCCATATTACTCTAGCTAATAAAACTAGAACAATAAAAGGGTCCCCAAACTCCCCATGTTTGGGAGTATAGAGGCAGAGAAAAAAGAAATGAAAAAAGATTACATTTGTTGATTTGGAAAGACAATAATGAAAATTACTTTTCATAAAAATTAGGGACAAAAGCAGCAATCAATAAAATTAATTTTATTTCCACTGCAAAACTTTCCATTAATCGAGAACGATAGAAAAATGGATCAAAGGCTCCCCAATCCTTCCATTTCTCTCCTTTTCTCCCGTCTTAAAAACTCACCCATTTCTTTATTTTCACTCATAAATCTTTTCATCCAAACGAAGTGTCAATTTTCTAATTTCTGTTCAAATGGCCGAACTGTCACATGCAACTTGCGTGATGACAGCTGAGAGTATGAGGTATTCTCTGGGAACATGGAAAATTTGACTAACAACCCTATGGTTTTGAAAACACACTTGACACTTTAATCCCTCTCCTGCTCTGCAAGTCACCCACCCAACCCCACACCCCCAAAAAAAACCCAAGCAAAATCACTAACGCAACCACCACAACCTCACCACTGCAACATCAACAAGAAACACCTACACTGATGGACACTTGCAGAAGCCCACAAGCACAAATGCACCACCACAGTAATATCATCGACATGGCAACCACACCACAAGTGCTTCATCAGAATTAAACCCAACCACAAACCCAGTTCTATATTAATTCTAATGATAACCAATTCAACCATCAATCGCCATTGATTCTGATCCATGGTATGTGTGTGTAACTACTACTCGCGGTGAGGTTTAGAGTAGGAGTGGTTCTTCATATAAGGTACAGTAGTGTGTGTATCCTTTAGGTCTTTGCAACATAAAAAGAAAAAGAAAGGAAGAGAAAGAAACTGCTACATCACAAAATACCTTGAGCATTTTGCCTTTACCAATTAAATGTCCTATAATCGATGGGACTTTTTTCAACATAAATTGAAAGCTTTAGGTCCAGATGAGAATATTTTATTTATTAGGCTTTAGTAAGGTATTGGCAGGTTAAGAAATCTTTGTCAATATATCATGGAAACCAATAGGTGCAATTAGACAGCACCTCAAAGCCAACAGAACATATTGTCACTTTATTTTCGGTAAATACCTGTTGTCAATATCAATAGGCATCGAGCATACAAAATCTCAAGAATAATGCCAATGATGCAGGAATTGTAAACTAGTCCAATGTATACTTAAACAGATTCAGAGTACATATCCAGAAAAAATATATATATATGATAACTCTAGTATATCCTTAAACAATGCTTTCAAGGAAAATTCTAAACTGAAGATATTGTGAAATGGTGCAAGATAAAATCAACACACATATTGATGCACAGTAAAGGCACCAAAGTTTCGTGTCCTTCAAAAGCTAGAATTTGAAGAGGTAACAATAAATAAATTACACATGGGTGTCATGAGTCCAATAACAGTCTTGAATGGGTAAGACAAGGAACAGACAGCATACTGATTGTTAGCAGTAGAAAAGGCAGTAAATGCATTGCTTAATGACAGAAGAATTTGCACACAGCAAAACATATGAAAATGAAATAGCATTCCATTAATCCACAATCACAACTGTCAACATCATAAACTAGTAAATTACCTCAGTTTTATTTGCAGGAAATATATTAAGCCTGTGTATCCTCTGAGGATATATCAACTCGGCATCATGCTTTTGTCTACCATAGGTGATCCCAGAAAGTGCTGCAGGCTGACCTGGTTGCTCAGGACAGCTGATGGGACCAAAATCATGAGACTTTCCAGCAACCAGCTGCGCCTCAAATGAAAGGTGGGGTCTGGGAACTAGAAAAGGAAAAATAGCATGTGAACCGAAGCAAGAGGAAAAAAATTAAGCAGAAAACAAAAGTTTGACGAATGAAAAAATATGCTTCTCAAAACTCGTAGTAAATTAAGGAAGAGACAAGTAATACATGTGCATATACAAATAATGCAACGTTAAAAATCTGTTTTGTAAGATAATTCGCATTATACTTATACCCAAAAGAAGAAAAGAGGATACGAACTGTGCAGATAACGCAAATACTCAGCTAAATCTAGCAACCACATTCATCACTAACCAATACAGACAAGTATTTTCTTCTGTGTCCCCAAACCCACAACCCGTGGGACCCCAGTCTCTCCTTTTCCATTTTTCTTTGTATGTCTCCTTTTTGTGGTTTATACAATTTCAATAACACCAAATTTAAGAAACAACATAAGATAAAAGTGCAGTATGGGCTTCAAAAATACGACCATGAAGGAGAGGGAAAAAAGAGAAAAGGATCACCTCCCCACCACCAACTTGCCTTTTCAAGACCTCGCTGATTTTCATATCATCCCCAATTTTTTAAATTAACAAAACTGTGAAATTGATCAATGGAAGTAGGTCAATAAAATATCATCCTTGCATGTGATAATTAACTGGACGTGTATTAAGTCATACACAAGCCCTTAAAATGCCCTAAATAGAAGTGTCGGAAATCTCAACCATCACTTCAACGATTTCATTCATCAAGTTCTTCCTCAACAAACCAAAAATGCATGATTAAAATGATGTCAGATAAATTAGTACTTCACTGATCATCCATGGCAATTAACTTTCAGTTCAATTATTCAAGTTATGGTCTAACAAAAATAAAAAAAGCAAGCATTCTGTACTTTGGACTGCTCACAGTATATTACGCTAAGATGCAAATTTGAGTACACAAAAATTGAGTTCACCACTTCTATTCATTCAATGACAAATTGACCAAAAAATAACTCAAATATGCACACGCAATAAACCAGCCAAATCTCAACAAGAAAAGTAGATAGCAACTCCTATTTCTAGGACGCATAATTGGTAAAACATATAACTGAGAGGCCAAATGATTCTGTTTTTTGGGATGGGGTGGAGATGCGGAACGAGATAAGGGTATATATGGAGGAATAAAATCGAAAGAAACATTAAGGTATAAGATAACAATACCACTTTCAAGTTTCCATCCATTGTTGGAAAGATTCTGGATCCGACTCCATAAATCTTCCATAAAATCCTGAAGATAAAATAAAAGAATAAAGTTAAATGACACAAATCCGCAACAGAATATCATTCAGCCAAATTAAATATGACATCTGAGCTGTTTGGGATTCTTGAGAAGAGGATCAAGCAAGGCGCCGAAGCATTTTAGTATCCAACTTGTGAAAACATGCAATTAGTCTAAGAAAATGCCTTGCCCACCTCACTTCTTTCTCTTTTGTATTGCTTTTCAACATAACGACGACTGTTTCCTAAAATGAAAAAGGTTATTTTGAGAAAAGGTTTCTTTTCACCTACTCTGTGCATAGCTAAAAAGGTAACTCCTATCCTCACATACTTGCTTCCTAAATTGCCTAGAAAGCCCCTCATTGGTTATTTCTAATTTCGCGGAATTATGTGAAATTACCAAAAAAATCTTTGGAGCATTCCAAAAGCCAGAACTGAAACAGGACATCAAATTCCAATTTACAAGTCCAGGCCCATTTACACATTCCAATGGCATCCAGAGTGAGAACCACTCAAACAAATAAAAGTTGTCCTCCTTGGGTCATTTAGAGGTCATTCTTCATCCTCTCCAGAAATCATGGAGCTATCCCCAAAAAGTATGGCGCTAATGGCCTGGTAGTTTTTTACCTATTATCATTTCAATAAGTTCATGGTTTTCCCATCACACAGGTCGTTTTACCCTCAATATCTGTCTTGACGGCATTCGGTTTTCTTGACAAAAAAAAAAGAGAAAGAGAAAATAAACTGCAACCAACTACATCCATAAACCAATATAACTAATTATAAGGAAAATACCTTTTCAATACTTACCCAAAACAAAATAACCAAAAAAAAAAAAAACAGAGTATACCTTTTCAGCATGAGCTTCATCAGTTTCATCAATATCCTCAAACACAGAGAAACCAATGTCAGAAACACGTTTCCTTATTCTTAAATAAGATTCTATTCCAACCATAACCCTTTCAACCTCCTCAGGAACTTGCTGCAAAATCAAAGGAAGAGGCTCAAGCAATCCTTCTCTAAAGCAAAAACAATCTCAGAGATGGTAACTACAGAAAGCGAAAGCAAAGTTTTTATAAGTCCATTAGACCCAAATACAGAGGGCGAGTAAAAGAAAATTGGTGATTGAGGTAGTGGGTTGTCAGTGACCACCATGATAGGTGGAATTTTAAAAACCTCCATTCAGTAGGTGGTAACAACAAATAGGATATAGTTAGGGATCAATAAACCGTGAAAGGGTACAAGTAGCACCAATAGAGAATAAAACAAGAGAATCGACTCAAGCACTTTGGTCATGTTTAAAAAAGATATATAACTGCACCTGTGAGGAAGAGGGATCTAATACCTATAAATGGTAATCTGAAAGGTAGCGATGGACCAATATTAACTTTGGACCACCTATTAATAAATAAATGATAGCTTGGGATTTAGCAGAAACTATGGCCCTTGATAGAGCACAATAGAAGAAAAAGAGTAATTCAAATAGCAAAACCCAAAGTAGTTGGTAGAAAGCTCACTTAAGTTGAGTTATCTATTCAGCAGGTGATCCTACTCAAAAGAATAACTTTGAGATTGCCTAATATGAACGAAGTAAACTTAAAAAAATACCTCAACAAGTTCTGCTCCTCCCCAAGGAAGGCAGGATAAAATACAAGTTATGTAAAAGTCAGCACATGCTTGCCAAGAGGGGTTTCCTTTCTCCTCATCCACTGTTGTTGCAGCCGATGATATAAATGTATCAAAGACATCCACCAAAGAACTTGGTGGGAGAACTTTGCTGCACATCTAAGGAGCACAAAAACCATAATGAGTAAACATCACAAGCGCAAGAAACCAGATAAAAATTTGAAAGCAAAAGATTATTTTATCCCTTGATACATGGATAGTGAATAAACACGAATGTTTGCATAACCAACTGTGTAAAGAGGGGCATTATTATCTTCATATGTGTGCAGCATAATTAAGCCCAAGAAAGATAAGCAATATGCCAATAATGTACATGGTTACTCATGCTTTGTCTAAAACTATGACATTGAACAATATAACATAAAAATGAAAAAGAGCAAAAATGAGGCAAAAAATACAAAGACAGAAATAAGTCAACTAAGTATTTGGCCAAACAGTTTTTCCCATTCTTTTAGCATGTAAGCCAATATTTCTCCCTTCATTTTCATAAAACATTAAGTAACTCTTCACAAGCCATAATTTTCATTTTCTTCCAAACATCTCCATCTTGATCAACATCAGAAATTCTAAAATGTCTCCCCTTCCAGTGCAATTGTTATTATTTCTGTACATAAATCACAAAAAGATAGCAGTAGAAAGAAAATGAAGTTAAGAGATGGTCACTTCCTGTCCAAATCCCTGGATACAGAAGCAGAGTTAATGTTCACAAGAAAACTAACTTTGCCTTCAAATTGATACATCATGGATGGTGAAATAGCAACAGCAACACTGACACCAAACATACCAAAGCAGTCAGAAATCGCATCAGTATACGAATCCGGTTGCAATTTCCATAATTTAGAGCATCCTGGAATAAAGACAAGAAAGGAAACATCATTTGGGGTAAGAACCTCAGCAAAAGAAATGTATATTAACAAATAGGATATATCCTCCTACCATCAATGCAATAGCACGCCAATTAAAGATTAATGAGAGTCACGGTCAAGGTAAATCCAGTTACATAAAATTGAAGTAGAAGGTCAAAATTGCACACTCTTCCACCTAACAAATGAAAATCGCTGATTTGACAACCCCTTAGTCATCCATAATCCTATCAATTCAGTTCACACAAATATGTTAATCCTTCCGTTCATTGAGATTTTTATCAGCATCAAGCAACACCACAAGCATCATTCCAAGCAGTCCACACAATAAGACGTTTTATAGCCTTTAGATTTATGCAAAGTTAATTCCTAAATAAAACGTCATGAACCCTCCTTGAATTTGATTATGAGACCAATTATTTAAGATTAATTTTGGGTATGTTTGTATCCCCTGCCCTCGTTCTGACACGAGAGAACTCAAAACTCTTAATCCTATGAATTTAGCATGAAATTGGAGGCAAGTACACATGTAAACTTCAAACAATTTTGCAATGAAGTTAGCAGAAGTGGACCATATCGAACCACATCAATAGCAGATAGCCAATATAGATGGAAAATTTACCTAAAGTTTTTTTAAAAATGAAACCACAAACAAGTCAAAAAATGACAACATATTTAGGGTTCTTCTATGAACACGACCATATTTACCGAGCATAACATAAACTGGACCATGAAATGGAAGCATCCATCGCCTAGTTGCATACAAAAATAGGGAACCACTTCTGGTAAACAAGGAAAAAAATAGTGGAAGGCATCCTTGCAATCAGCCAAGACTTAAGACTTGCTTACCTGAAAATTAGTTTGAGTGTTCTCCACTACTGTCCTGACAAACTCTTCATTTTCCAAGTTCAGCAAACCAACCTGCGGCAAGAAAGAGATCAAGATTGATAAACAGCTACAGGGAAAACTTTTTTTATCTGCAAGAAAGCTGAATACACAAAATACTCATATATAAAGCACATAATCAAGCTTGTCAGCTTCTTTTACATGTTCAATGGAGAGAGAAGAGCATTAGCTGCAGATGAGACATTAAGACTGAATAGATGTTAATAGCAAGTTTGATGATTTTGGGGGGCGAATTAATTCACATAACTGCTCCCGTTTTCATAGTAACAATTCAACTCAATTACACCCAAATTATTGAGGGCTTGCTATGTGAATCATGTTTCATCAAAGACTCTCATTCCCTTATACCTTTTCCCACAAAATAAGTCTCTAGTTCTTACAAAGTTGTAGTGATATCTATCCAGCTATGATAACATATAAGTTTTTTTGTAGTACCTAAAAAAAGAGAGTACATCTGGAACCCAAGATTCAGCACTTCCCTTAACCATTTACGTCTCCAAGACTCACTTATTAACTTTCTAGTAGAAGGCTTCAAATATAACAAATTTAACCCTCTTATCTTCTTCACAAAATCTCCCTACTATGCGTGAATGTATCTAATCTAGTATCTACCAATCTTTCCATTCAACTATCTGTATAGTCCATTAGGACATACAACTGTTGCAAAAGTAGAGGAAGGGTACCAACCACAAGAAAGAATGCAGGAAACACAATCAGTGGACACTATTGAAAGGGGAAAATGTACCCTACCACCGTCCCATACAGAGGAATCTTGTGAGGCAATTGTTCAGCACATTGGAGGAGGAACTGCGAGGATGTAAAAATTAAGCATTCAAAATCAGTAAGAGTCCTCTAGCAATGGACAAAAAATACACAACTAATTTAAAGCTGATTTACACACACATCTGAAATCCATTAGCCATGAACCAATATTTATACCCCACATGGATTTGACTTCCTGTGCTTAATGGATTAAATATACATTGATGTATCTGTGGATGTCAGTGAATGATCTATAGTGCATTAGCCATGAAATCTACATGATAAAACACATCATAAGTTGAATTTTTATATCATACACATTTTCCCCCCAAAATCTATCACATCCTCTCTCAGTCCTCACAACAGTCATTTGGCCTGTCAGACACTAAAGGGCCATGCCCTCTGCCACATCCATCTCTTCCCTTTTTTTCCCCCCTCTTCCACTTCTCTCCCTCTCTCTATTATCCCCAGCCACTGCCATCAGAACAGACAAACCGCCATCGCCAGCCATCGCAACCGTCAAAACCCAGGTCTTTCTCCCTCTTCTCTGTTTCTCTCTCTCTCTCACACACACACAGACCCCTCAATCTCTCTCCCCCTTACGTTAACTCCCCCCCCCCAAAAAAAAAAAAAAGCTTTCCCTTTTGGAACCCCCTTAGATCTCCCCCTTCTACGCAACCCCTCACCCCTACCTTGCAAAACCAACCCACCAACCCCCACCAAAAAACCAACCCACCGACTCACAAAAACACACGCGCACAAAACACACTCTCTCTCTCTCGCGCGCGCACACACATAATAGAACACTCACACACACCAAAAAACCCACCCACGCACTCACAGAAACACACGCACGCACAAAACACTCGCACACACACACATAGCAGAACACTCGCACACACAAACGCATAACACACCCAAACAACTCACCCTTACCTTTACCCCAAACCCTTTGCTTTTCTGTCAATACACACACACACATAACATACCCAAACACTATCTTTGATTTTGAGAACTCGGTTAGAGTAGGTTCAATTTGAATTCGGTTTGATTAGATTCAATTTAATGCTTATATTCAAATCTGGATCTTCTCTCTGGCGGTACTTCTTCCATTTCAGGTATCAAGTTTTGCACACGGTATTATTTCTTAACATGATTTTTTATAGTTTGTTTGATGATAGTTCAAGAAGAGATTTATGTGAAATTTTATTAATTAGAATTGTTAGTCATTCTTTTGGTTTGGGAATTCTATATATTTTTGTACGTGTATCTCTATATAGGTGTTATAGACATATGTGAGTTGTGACATGTGGGATTAAATGACTTTATGCTTGGATTGGAACTTAGGGACTGATGTTAGGGGCAACAATTGATCATGAAAACAAAACAATGAAGATTAGATCTACTTGGTGCTACAACAACCATACTTGATGTCACTGCCTAGAGTTTTTTTTATGGTTTTTCTTTTAAAAGTTTTTGATAAGAAGTAACACTTCATTTCATAGGAAGTAATACAAGTACAATAAAAGGTGGATAAGGATAATCAACTATATGTATCATGTTGTTTAGGCTTTGGTTGTTTTCTGTTGCATTATAATAAATTTGTATTTTTATGTCTTACTGAATTTATCTTTTGTCTTTTCCATTATTCAGTCTTCTGAGGTTTCTCATCATATTCTATTCAACTTTGTGGTTCAAAGTTGAAACTACCAGTGCTATGAGGAAAAATCTTTATTGAACTTCGAATGAATTCTTCAATTTAATGTACTCTCAAGAAAAAAAAATGTTGCTTGGTTTTGCAAAATTCTATTATAATATGATTTGGCTATTGTAAGTATAATTCATCACAATTCGGTGCAAGTTGCAACTATTCCTTTCAAGGATTAAAACCTCTATGGGCAATTTTGTGGGGTGTTCTTTATGGCTTTGTTGATATGATATTTTCACCTACTTGATCCTTACCATGGAAAATCATGCTTTCTTTTGAAATGCCTTACACAGGTGGCCTTTAACCACCACACCACAGCCAATTTCAACTAACCAGCCTATAGCCACCATCAGCCTCACACTCTAAGGCCCACAACTAGAATGTTGGGTTCCTCATAAAATGTGTTGAACCTGTTTGGACTACATAGGAAAAGATATTATAAGAATTCCTAAACACTGATGGCATTCAATTATACATTTTTTATATTTTGTGGGTTATGTTTATTTTTGGGTGCTTTGAATATTTGTGGTCATGGGTGACCTTGAATTACAATTGAAAGAGTTGGGTCCAATGAGGTTGGTTAATTTAGCAATAATCTTTCTTTTGCTGCTACTTCTAGATACATTTCGATATATAATTTTTTGAGAAACTTATGAAATATGAAACTTTTGTTTGTGATGTCTCCATACGCTTTCTTTTTTAATTTGCTCCAGATCTAAAAGTTTTTTGCAATATGGTTCTTCATTTTTGCTCCAATTCGAATCTTTGTAAGTTGTTTATTTCTGTTTTTATTTAGCTTTATTTTCAGAGGGGAATGTAATGACATATTTATGGGTTTTATTTACTACTTTTTGATTGATTGTGGATAAATGTCTTGGGTTTGAGAATTTGTTGAATTTGAAGGTGAGTTACATGAATTGATTCCATTAATGTATTTTTTGTCTTATGAATGAATGATTATACATTAAAAAGTCTAGAAAAAAATTAGACGCCTTCGGTGGACTGTTTTGCAATTTTGCAGATTGGTTTGAGAAGCTAATTTTTCTTATATTTTATTGTTTATATTTCGGCTAAGTATTTTATAGTACATGAATCTACAACAAACAGGTCCCATATAGTTTACGGTGTTTTCTTTTTTGCTTTGACTTGTAATGGTCACCTTGATTGGTTTATGGTCAATAGAAGGGGTTGGGTGAAGATAATGGTAAAATCTCCCCTTGGGCATGAAAATTTGCTCCCTATTCTTTCTTCACTTCATTTTTGTTTTTCAATTTTTTCTTAGTGGTAATCATTATTTCATAATCTAATTTGGTTGAATTGTATTTTATTGAAATGGGCATGAAGAAAAATCATTGCGTTCACTATGGAAGATTGTGTTCACTCATTTCACATCAACTAGTTTTAAGCTTTGGCCGTTGTTTAGTCATTCTTTGTGTATTATACAGCTGCATAACTTTGATGTTATGAGCTAATGAATGTGATCTAGGATTAATGATGAATCTATTTGACAAATTTGTAGGCATGTTTAGTATATCCAGGTGGAGGGTTATGAAGTTGGAGACTCCCCATGGTTGTAGTAACAATCAAGAACGCAATGAATTGACTGAATCTATGGACATATTTGGGGATATGACAGTAGTTGTAAGGTAAAAAGTAAAATTTTTGTTCTTTCTAAGAAATTTTTTTGATGAGCGGTGTACATGAAAATTTTTTGTCCGCAGAGTTGTGTTGGTTGTGGCAATGACAAAGTTTTATATTGGATGGTAGTCGGTAGAACCATAGAACTACTTTTGGGTCTAGATTCTATATGCACGCGTGGATTCCATGTGTATATTTGTATGTCCAAACTTATCCCTAAATGATGTTATTTGGTATAAAATATTTTTTTTGAGCTTAGGTGTATTTCTATTCAAACAACTGCAGATCTATATGCATGAGTGGATTCCATGTGTACATTTGTAAGTCCAAACTTATCCCTAAATGATGCTATTTTGGTATAAAATATTTTTCCAGAGCTTTGGTGTGTTTTCTATTCAAACAAACTGCAGATTTATTATTTACATTGCAGAGTTGAATGTGCATCGTGGGATTTTCCATAGGGAGTTCATGTTCTTAGCTCTTGAATCATGGTTGAAATTAGTTGAATGTATAGGTTTTCACGCTTCGAGGAATGTTATTGTAGTGGAGTTTAAAGTAGCAATAGAGAAAGTAATGAGTTTGTAAAGGCGTGATTTCATGGTATGATCATTTGAGACTGCGAATCTGTTGCGTTGTTGTTGCTTTAGATTAGCTAATGCCCGAGAATCTTGATGCCAAAAAATGGTCATGCCTCAATCGAGGCTATTCCCAATTATGAAATATTCTCAATTTCCCAAGGGCTGAATGGAAAAGAAGTTGCTCTCATGAGAAGTCAAGCAAGGTAAGCAATCTTTCATAAAAATTATGTTAACATAGGACTTTCTTGCCCAAGAACTTTTTTTGGGATGCTGGACATATTAGGTAGAAGTATTATCTCCTTTGTTGATTTACTCTCTATTTAACCCTATATCGAATTTATAATTGTTGTTCTACATGTACACAGATATAGAGCCATTTCTCTGACCATGTCCACTATTAGCATGGGTTTGATCATGTATTCAAGTCTATTTTAATGTATGGTTGTTTGATAAATGTTTTGTTATGTTAGTTTTTTGTAGTTTTAAATTGTTATGTTGTTATTGACGAGCGAGCAAATTAACAGCACGTCATCTAGACTAAGTTCTAATTTTTATTGTTAATAAAATTTTCTTTTTAATTTATGTTTAGACAGTTTTTCAATTTGTCTATGTTGTTAATGCGGCCTTTGTTTGACAAAAACTATTTGCCCTTATCTGTAAAATTTTAATTGGTGAATTTTTTTTGTTATTCTGTGCCTTCAAGCATGGCCAATTACTAGTAAAGATATACATCCCCTATGATTGGATCATTCACGCTAAGTCCTAACTTACCAAGTGGTGAAGTTAAAACTAAATTACATGGAAATCAACAATCAGATGCAATTAAATAAATGCTGAATATTTCTAAAACACATCACAACAAGGGGCCCCATCTGGACTGGCACCCAACAGTTCAACTATCTGCAGGTAGAAATGTTATATATACCATAAGGGCATACAAGCAACCAAAATGATTGCACTTCATGGGAGAAGATGAACAAAGAGGCCAAAATCCAGATGAAAACTTGACCCTAACATGCTACTGTCAAATGAAAGGCATTGTCAGAACAAGGCCCTATGTGTTGGCATTCATACTAAATCTCTTATATTATATATGTATTATGCCAAAAAAAGAGAAGTATAAGAACAGCAAGTCCAAAATAGTTCTCTTCTAGCCCTGACAACCCCGTTGTCACAGGCCAGTGCCATTATATCACAAAGCAGGGGCATATGTAAATCTCACGCACTGTAAATACAAAGTTTATCACACAAAATCCTAACAATTTAAGATACCACACAAACAAACAACCGGAAGCATGCATATAATCATTCGCATCAGACTATGCAAATGTCTATGATGTTTCATGGTACAAAATAGTAACTATCAAGCTCACACACTGAAGGCCCAACACGTGTTTCTTTACAATTACAACTTTAATTAAAAAATTAACATAACAGAAAAGAAAGAGAATATCTACGCAAATACATACAGACAATACATCGTCCCCGGAGTGCTCTAACTCTCGCCGAATGATGCCGGAACATGTCTCCTACCGTTGCATGATAAAACCAAACGTTTCATTATTTAAAAAACCATTACAGTGTAAATAGAAAAAAGAAAAGATTATAAAGAAAGGACACTGACAATGTGATCTTTGAAATCGATGTTGCCGCCGTATTCAGGGGACTTCTCGCCAATACGCAAAAGCAGATTCCTCCAGCTGCTCATTTCAGCCTAATAAATAATATACAATTGATTGATATATATGTATGCCAACAAACACCAGAACCAAAAGGAGGAGGAGATCGGAGAACAGAGAGGGTTTTAGAGACGGACAATGGAGAGATATAAAGGGGAAGGAATGAGCTGTGGTATTGGAAGGGTTTTATGATTGTGTTTAGAAACAGCGGAGCCGAGCGCTGCACCAAACCCTAATCAATGAAAACCCCACCCGGTATTTATTCGCAGTCATGTTTCCAAATTTTGAATGGATGGCGGTGCCCGCTGTCCCCTCAGCGAGTTTAAAAAGTCTCTATTCTAAAAATTAAAAAATTTCAAATATTTAATTTATTTATTTTTTAATTAGTCTCAACTCAAATATTTTGAAAAACGTATTTAAGATATTTATAGGTGAAAAACAGTAGTTTAAAACTGTTATACGGGAATTTTCATATTTTTGGAATGAAAAATTCATTTTTGTTTTTGAAAAAATGAGTGGGGCAAAAGAGAACAACCACCCTATAAGGCCTCGTCGGTGAAATTATGAGATTTTTGACTGTACTCGTTACTCATTTTTAGAACGAACTTAACTAAGATAGCATAATGGTTAACCAACAAACCCCGATATAAATTTCAAGATTCGAATCTCTATTTTTAAAGTGAGAAGTTTAACCTATACCCCACTCAATGAATTATTCACTTGTAAAATATTCATGTGATAAACTAAATTGTTCTTTTTGTATGGGTGTATTTGGTTTGCCATGGGAGGAGTGGATATTTATCCTAAATAATCTCATCCAACTCAATCTAAAATAATTCAACCTAAATTGAATCTAATCAACATCATCCAATTCAATACCTAATTTGGATCGAAATAAATGAGAATCTATGCACATGTCAAAATCAACCTAAATGAAATGACCATTACACCAATACCAGGTTTGAATGCGTAGAGCATAGTGTATAAAATTAGTTTGAATGAGTAATTTTTTTAGAAAGTATGAATAATAACAATTTTAAATACCATAAATTAAGTTATACTTATTTAAAAGAAAATTATGATTTAGTATATTGTATGAAGTTTAAAGAATTGTAATATTTTGATATTTTTGTTACACCGCTCAATCCAACCGCAATCACAGATGCATTTGAGGATACCTTTGGAAGCCGTCGGAGTCAGAGAAACGTGGGGGAGAGGCAAAGATGGAAAATGAAGGGGAAAAACATGAACAAAAAAATTTAAATATGCTCGCTGTCGCTGGCCCAAAACCAACAACTGAACCGATAAATGGACAAGGCTGAGAAAGAGGGAAAAAGAAAAAGCAAGTGTTAATCTCAATTACATCATGAAATATTTTTTAAATTTTAATTTGTACCCCCAAAGATCAAAAATTTTAATTTACCCTTTCAAATATTTATATCAATGTGCGTCTGAAACTATATCAATCCGCACGTTGAAACTAACAACCGTTAGTTTACTGGCTAAAACTTAATAGATAAATTATACTTAGATCATCTCATACTTGTCACTTAATCATTTGAATTCCTCATATTTAAAATATTATTCCTACACCTTCTAATGTTTGTGCATGTGTAACACATAACTCCTTATCGTTGATATCTGTTAATATAACCGTTAAAAAATATGATTTCATCATAATAAAAAATTAGAATTTCATATTACCCTTTATTTTGTGGCCTCGTTATATTTTAAATTTCAAAATCAAGTTTATCATTTGAATGTCCAATATAATGCAGGTATTTATATAATGTTATTTATATCTAATGCAATACGTCATTTAAACAGAATTATTTGAATGCCAAATTGGGGAAATATTTTTAGTTATATTTAGATTTTTAAGGGATATAGGTGTAATATTTCAAATGTGAGAAATCTAAGTAATTAAATGACAATCATAAGGGGTCTAGGTGTAATTTATCCATTTAATTTTAGATGGTTGTTAACTTTGGGTGTACATTGATACAAATTTTTATCTTTGAAGGTATAAATTGAGATGTTTGATTTTTAAGGGTGTCAATTGAGATTCAAATAATCTTTCAGGATATAATATGAGATTAACCCAAGAAAAATTCAGTAAATAAATAATTTTAACAGAAAAAAAAAAAATTCACGGTGCCCATCGCCGGAGAGAAGGAGAGACAGAGGGAGCGAGATAAAAAAAAAACTAATAAGAAAATATTTTTAACAGTAAAAAAAAAATTCCACTGTGCCTATCTAATGAAATGGCATACACAAAGTTCAGAGAGAGAGAGAGAGAAGCCATACCTGTGGGTGTGGAGTCAGCTACTGGAGGCGAGGAAGAGATGGAAAAATGGATTGGCTTTTAACCTTAATTGAGTACTCTTTTAAGGGCAGTTGGGTACAATTATAATTTATCCTGTCAATTATTATAGGATTATAAGAGACTGTTTTAAGGATTATTGTTATGTACTGTAAATAACTTTACAATTAAATTATAGGATTATAGTAGACTTTATTTTAAGAATTATTGTTTTTTTTTTAATTCCTCTTTTATACATTGATTGTCTTGTGCATTCTTAGTTACGCCTCCAATTGATGTCCTCTTAATCTTGCAGTTAGATGTAGGCGCTTTGGTTTTGGTCTTTCAACTATGCCATCCACAATCATCGTCTCTTGTTGAGATTAGTAAGACATTGGGCAGAGGAATCCAAAGAAATTATTATGAGAAATGGCTTAATATTTCATGATGTTCAAAAACGGGAAGCAGCTTTTATTATGTGTTGGCAATCTACATATATATATATGCACATGGTCTAATCATCATCATCACCATCAACGCTGCTGGAAGATGCCAAGTCTGACGGACTGTGGAACATATATAAGACGCTGCTCTCTAATCTTCTTTCCATTTATAAGCCACCCACCGGAAAATATTCAGATGACCAGTAAGCCTCTGGAAGGTGTTTTGTCCAAGCTCCAAACTGCTCTCTTTCAAAACAAATAAAAGATCCAAGTCGGTCAACTGCAAATTAAGACCACTTGTAATAGTTGGTCAGCGATAAAAACCCAAGCAAAATTGAACAACACAATGATGAATGACGGCCATACCACAACATCCACGCTTTGGACATCTTACGCCTCGGGCATCCCTTCTATCCTGTGCCAAGATTACCGAGGTATGTATACTGTCCTGCCAAGATTACCAAGGGATGTATTAACTGCAATCGAGTGAAAAGATAATAAAAAGTACACAGCCATTACCTTCATCCCGTATCATAAAAAACAACAGCATAACTATGCACTTTCATTTGCCGGAAGACATGGCATCCTCAATTCTCCTGATGACCCGACTCAAACTACCTCCACTTTCCAAAGCTTTTACAGCAGCTCGATGAGCATGTTTGTGCCATTTGAGCAGATTATAAGATTGCAGAACTGACCACCTTGCTTGATTTGACATCTATTGAAACAGTAGTGAACACTAGAGATCGGCATTCAATAAAAGAAATTGATAAGCAAAAAATTCTGCTCAGAGAACAACCCGTGCCATAGATAGTGGGGGTTCTAGGAGAACACAGACGCTCCTGAACAGATTTTCATCATTTTCTCCATCCTCAGCCTCTCCGTAGACGAGCCTCAGCTGTTATCCCAGCAAAAAGCACCATGCAGTACCTGAACATTTTACACATGCATGGAATAAACTAATGATGTGAGTGTCACCATTTATACGTATATTATAAGTGAGTGTCCCATAATCCTTTCTATATGTGGAAGCGTCCTTAACCATCCAGATCCTTGACCAAGTTGATCCATGCCACCAAGCATGTCTTGGGGTAAATGTGGAAAGTAGATTAAGAGGCAAAAAAAATACGATTATGCTTCACTTCATGCAAAAGCTTGCAAAGGACATTGTAAGGTAAAATATCTATGCTAATCCATCCAACCGAAGTACTAACTGCAATTTTGTAACATAATATTTTCAATAAGAAAATGTTATTTAACTCGGGCGCAGTGCAACATTGTAAGCAAAACCAAAATTCAGACATTTGTAGCCCATACCCCACCTGTCAAAGGCAGTACCACTGAGTCGACCTTCAGCAAGTTCATTTTGCAGTTTCTCATCCCAAAACTGAGTTCCTGCATGCAAGACAATCACCACAATGAACATATGCTACCTGTGATAATTATGAATCAGCATGAAACTAGGTTTAGATGAGTTCAGGAAAGTGAGGGCCAAGAAAGTAAACTAAAGCAAGAAAAGTCAGCACTCTGCAATTTGTATTTATCAGGAGGATAGAAGAAGTTTATCAGTGGAAGGCAATTGGCTTGGGGATATGCAAAACAGGAGAGTTTTTTGCAATAAAAAAGAAAAGATCAACTATGTTCAATATCTGTTTTTCTTTCTCCCTTTCTTCTTGGCAACCCATAATGCATAGCGGGGTGTGGAGAATTAAGTGGTGAACATATTAAACCAATACCAAATTTTTATCCTTTGATACATGGATTGACTTAAGAGAATAGATTTATTACAGGAATTTTAAATTAATTATGGTTTCCAATGTACGACAAGCGCCTCCACTAAAGGATCAGTGAAGAAGAAATCATGTAACAGTAACACAAACACACCATATTTTGGTTTAGTAGGCAGCTATGAGTTTTGACTTAGATCCATGTCAAGTAATCCATCTAAGTTTCAAGGCAAGCATGCATCAGTAATGGCACATGAACCATAGATACACGATACAGGCTTGAGCAGGTATAAGTATATATGAATATGGTGAATATGAACTGATCTTCATTCAATTTAACCTATTTATATTGCAATAGATGATATAATATGTACTAAACAATCTAAATTAATAACAGCATAAACTCCATAATTTAGGCATGTCACTTGACAAGTCATCCAAATTACCAAAAAAATACCAATCCATCCATATTGGTCTCTTGCTTTGACTTCCTGAATATGTCCAATCTTAAAAAAGTGTGCAGCGACATGTTTTAAGAGTGGCTTGTGCAATAAAATATTGAATAGCTCAGCCATTTAGAGATAAAAATCATAGACGCCATAAAGCGCAAGCAAGTTCTAATGTACCTGCCCTTGAATGCCCATTTGCATCGCGACTATGGGGTCTAAAATTACCCCACGAATTGGGCACCCCATAAGTATGCTGCAAAGAAATATAAGAGAATATCAATAGGGTACAGGGTTAGAATAAGGGTTATATGCCCCTGAACTGAGTTGCAAGTGTATAATCAATGCTTGACAAAATGAATGTTTCTGAATTTCTTCTGTAAACGAAAGGAATAGTGAGAGTGTGAAAAGTGTCCAGATCTCATGTTTGAAAACCTGAGAGTAGTCCCTAACTTGTGATCACTAATATCAATTTGTAGACCTATTATTACAATATGCTTCATGGGTATATAAATTAAAGATGGATCTAATTTTGTCAATTTATAATTCTAATGGTAAGGTAAGTTGCAGATATTCAGAGAAACAGTGCTCACCGATAAGAAGATGACCTGCTTCATGCACAAGAATTCGATGTTTATATGGAGGCCAGTAACTTGAGATTTGAGCCAAACAAGATCCACCAAGGAATATTGAGTCTATCATGGCTAATCCCAATGTGGCTGCTAGGTTTGGCCTGATATCTGTTCCTTGATTACGCAAAAATGACACTTCAGCAAGTAAACCAACCAAAACGACCCTAGAGCTTCTAGAAAGACCCCACTTCTTTGGTGAAAGTTTAGAAATTGGGCCACAGAAAAACAATGAAGAAGAAGAAGAAGAACTTAGACATTTTAACGTCACTGGAGTTGTGACAAAAAACTACACAGTTATGAATAATAAACACAATATGGTGGGCATGTTAATCATTTCAACTCAAATTTATCAATTTTTGGAAGAAACTATAGATTGGTAGTGCACCTTCCAGACCAGTTGACAACTTCAAAACAGTTGGTGTAACATCTCTTGGTCCCTCCAAAACTACAAAAGTATATAATCATTATAAACAAGTGACAGACTGCTTACTGTATCCATGAAGTTTTTATGCTTCAACGAGGAGATATGATGATTAAAAACTGGTCCCTCCATATAATGTTAAATTTCATGCTTCAATGTCATATAGTGATGAGGTGATTATAAAAATCATTTCCTTGGATTAACAAGATTTGCATATCATCAAATGATATCTTTTGTTTGACATATTGTAGAGAAACTAACTGACAAACACCTAGAATTTTGACTGTAACCAGTGAGAACTTATATAATAAAAATGATAGAGCACAAGAAGTAGGAAAAATTTTTCCGCTTGGGATTGGCTTTGGATAAAGGCTAAAGCAAAGCATCTTTTCTCTTTTGAAATACATACTTGATGAAATGGTTCCACAGTCTTAAGAACAAGACTATGGTACTGGTACCACTAAATTTTACAATTTTTATGGGTTTTCATACAAAAAATGTTGTGGGTTGTTTACAACAAAAAAAATTACAACTTTTGGGGTCAAAGTTTGAACTTTTAAGTTTTTTATTACATTTTTTTTTTTGGCCAAGTTATAACTTTTAGGGTAACTAGCGATCAATCCTAATATTTTTAGAATTGATCACATGTTACTACAAAAAGTGTAAAAAAACCAACAAAATTTGTCATGGTGGTACCGTAGACTTCTCTCAGTACAAATTGAGTGTTTTAAATTTCTAAAACAAAACATATTACAGGAGCTCTCAAGCACAATTTTATTGCACCATCAGCCAAAGCATCCAAATTTGGTAAAATAGAGAAACATCGTAGACTCGGGGAATCAAAACCTGATCGGACATAAACATTCTTAACAATTACATCATAGGGTCAACAATATGGATAGGGGCAGGACAACATTCCGCAACAAATAAGACAACGAACTATCCAAAACTATGCCAAAAATAATACCTATATTTCGATATTTTCCAAAAGTTTGCAATAAGCCCCGGTCTTTGAGAAAAACATAGGCACTGCCAACAAGCCTCATATCATCAGCATTCAAGCATGTATCTAACACCTCCCAATCCTTGTCCAATCCAAACAGTCCCAATTCACCATTACCAACCCTAGACAGAGTTGAGTCAATCGAAGAATTGTGGGGTTCGACTGGGATATCTTGCAAGAAGCGAAGAGCTTGAGCCAGGTCCTTGTCTTTCACTGCTTCCTCATACTCCTGCCACTCTTTGAGAGCTCTGGTTGTGGTGAGTGATGGAGGTTGTTTTAGGCGAAAGGGTTCGGCTTCTGCAAGTGGGTGTGTTGGGAATGGTAACGGACTAGAGAGGGTGAAGCCAATTGGGCGTGGAATGGCCTTGGTTGAGACAATTGGGGTGGTGAAATTTGTGTACAGAGGTAAAAAACAAGGAACATAGCCATGGGAGCTATGTAAAACAAAACTTTGCAACCTTCGGCAGATTTAAAAAGCTTGAATAAACGACAAGACGAGGAGAATCAATTGAGCTCCGATTATTCGGAAAAAAAGGGAATTTTATTTTACTTTACTTCAAATTGAAGAATAAATTTTATATATTATTAAAAGTGTCGTAATATGTCATTTATTAATTTTTCGATAGTTTTTATATATGTGTCAATTAATTTTTGACAACAAAATTAATTGAAACTAATAAAATAAACATGTTACAATACTTTTAATTTTAATATATTAAAAGTGTAATATAAAAAATTTAATTTTTAAATATATAAAATAAAAAATTTAAAACTTTTAAGGTGTAATTCTTTTATTGAAAATTATTAATTTGACTTAATTGATGGGTAAATTATACTAATAGTCCTTGAGGTTTACCACTTGTTGAAATTTAGTCCTTAAATTCTAATTTTATTAATTTTATCCCTAAAGTTGACACATTGGACCGATATAGTCCTTTGTCCTAATTGTCGTCTAAATCAATAATATAAAATCATCACATGTTATACATGCGATTGTAATTAAGGGTAATTTTGTCATTGTCCAACAATCTCTATAATCAAACACTCTTATTACACTTAGGTACAATACTAGACATTAACTCAAATATTCTCTTTCTTCTTTCTCACTTTATTTTTCTATTTCCCTCTACACAACACATATGATAAGTCAAATACACACACAACATCCCTCCCTTTTTATCTCTCTAATTTTTTTTCTTTATGCACAATATCCTGCTAAAAAAAAAACAGCAACACCCCCTCTAAAAAAAACCCAATATTTATCTCTCTCTCAAAATTTTCTTTATGCATAACATTTCCCTTCCAAAAAAACACACATCGCATACCTATCTCTGAATTGTTTATTTATGCACAACATCCTCCCTCCCCAAAACAACCCCCTTAAAAAAAAAAAATCCAACACATTTATCTTTCTGCATGAACAACAATTTCTCCAATTAATATTTCGACCACCATCACACCATCATCAAATATATAAGGACGTATTCATTCCTTATTCAAAATCAAATTCAAACTTAAATTTGAATAAAAAAATGTACAAAATTATCTCAAATATTTTGACTCGAACTTATATTAAATGAAGGGAAATCTCTATTTTACCCAAATTGAGGGAATATCAAATATTTTTCTCAAATTTTTTTGAGCCAATATAGATATTTTATAACATATGTGTTTCATCAACTTCTGGACCTTCTACGCCATGGAAACTCCTTCTCTGTTGTCTGCAAACTTATATAATTGTTTGATGTTGATTTTTTTATACCATCTATGTTCAACTTATTTTTCAAGTGATTGAAACACAATAAATTGGCGAGTAAGTCGTCTAAATTTTGACATCAACAGTAATAAATTATGATTTAAAAAAAAATTAAATTTTTATTTTTATTTTTATTTCAATAAATGATAGAATAGAACTTGAGTTTTGATTGCAAAAATTTAAAATATTTGATATTCTATCTTTAAGTGAAATATTTTTTATCTAAGTATAATATTTTAAATTTGAGAGTCTAAGTATTACAAATATTTAAATTTTAGGAGATTTAAGTATAATTTACTAATCGGGGCTTAATTGATTAAGCGATAGACCTTACGGGATTTGAGTGTAATTTTATTTCTTTTCTTTTTTTTTCCCTCCAACCTAGTTTCCAAATTCGTGCATTCAACGCTCTCTCCCTATCTCAATTTAAAGCCTTTGGTAGTCTCCTTCCCAATTTCTAAATCTGTGCATTCATCTCTCTCTCTCTCTCACAACCCCTCACCCCCCACCCAGCAACGGTGTCGCCTAGTTTCCAAATCTGTAAGTCTCCAATGTTTTTCTTCTTTCCTCAAATACATCTGCAACGCTCTCTCTCAACCCCCACCCGAAAACCCCCAAACCATGAACACTCTTTCTCCCCCTCACCCCCCACCCAGCGACGGTGTCGCCTGGTTTCCAAATCTGTAAGTCTCCAATGTTTTTCTTCTTATTTATCACCTTTCTTCTTTCAACAAATACATCTGCAACACTCTCTCTCAACCCCCCACCCGAAAAACCCCAAACCATAAACACTCTTTCTCCCCCTCTCTGTGTCTCTCTCGTTCTCAACCCTCACCCGAAAACCCCCACCCAGCGGCGGTGTCGCCTAGTTTCCAAATCTATAAGTCTCCATGCTTTTCTTCTTATTCACCGCTTTTCTGCTTTCCTCAAATACATCTGCAACTCTCTCTGAACCCCAGCCGAAAACCCCATCCCATAAACTCTCTCCCCCGAAAACACCCCACCCATAAACTTTGGCCGAAATCGATTGGATGGGGACTAAATTTAGGAACATTCATGGGGCGATCTTCGGGATCACAATGTTACGAGTTGGCAACATATGATGAGGGTTTGTAATGAGTTTGTTCAACACTTTTCCAAATCTGTAACATGCCATCCAGTGCCTCTGGGTTTGAATTCTTTAATCTGATTCAATCTCTCTCTCTCTCTCTGACTCTTGTTTTCGCGTTTGAAATATGATTGGAAGTAAAAAACAGAGCATCACCGTAACTCCGGAAGTCAAAAAGAGGATTTGTGGATTTCAACGTACAAGTATAAATCATTAGATTCAAAGAATTTTCGTTACATGATTTTCGTAGATTTCGTTTTTGTTCCCTGTTTCTGATTTATTTTTCTATTTTCACATTGTCTTCATAATTTATCATACTATTATGTTTATAATTCTTTGTTACCCAATAACTACAGAAATCCCTCTATTTTATTTTTTTCTTCTTATTTTCGGAACTCGATATTACTATGAATGATGAACAACCGTTATATTTTGAAATGAGAAATATTGATTTCAATGGCCGCCAGGAATGTGATTGAAGACTTGAATATGATTACACACATATGGCAAAACTACTGAAACCCTTTAGTTTCTAAAATACAATTATTGTAGTTATTTATGTGATTTTTCTAGTATTTTTTGGTTTAGCCTTATTGAGTGGCTCGGAGGACGATATTGTTTGATTGACTTCTTTTTTTTGGTTAGAATTGTTTTCCATGGATTTTCTCTCAATTGCTGTTGATTCTGCCCTATGATGCTTTAGGAATATCATGGATGTGCTGAAATGGATTGCAGCAATTCTGATTGAATTACTTATGCTTGATTTTTTTTTTCAAACTACACAATATAACATTTGCAACTACTAAACTACAGTTTGAATTTGGATACTGAGCTAGTTGTAGAAATTCCAACCTTGAAGGATTTCTGATATGCAATTCAACACTGTTTTGGTGCTATTTTATGATTTTCCTATTTGAGCAACACTCAAACTTGAAAATCTTGTTTAATTGATGATGTTGCATATGCATTGCAATGCAATTTCATTACAGAATTTTAGCCTGCGATTAATCCTATAGCCCATGTTCTTGTGTTTGGAATTGTAGACTCTGCCCATCAAAATTAAAAGGCTTGCAGGAAGTGTAGCGACATTAGCCAACTGGTTCAGTTTCTGGGTGATTATGATGACTGCACCCTTGCTCTTGTCTTGGAGCAGTGGAGGTTTGCCCCTCTCTCTCTCTCTCTCTCTCTCTCTCAGCTGTTGTATACATGGTTTAGCATTGACTTATTGCTAGTGTTCTTGTAAACATAGTCTCCCCCTCCCTTCTCTTTTTTCTTTGCATAAGAATTAAAAATTCTTGTTTATCCTGGAGGACAATAATTCCATTATGTTTTTTGTTGTGAAACATATTGATTCCAAGTTTATGGTTACCATTATGTTGACTTTTGAAGCCTTCCAGTTTGTTACTTTTATATTGTTCTTGATTTCTGTAACTGAGTTTGGGAGTGTTACTAGAAAGTAGAAATTTTAACACTTGAGAGTTCTAAAACCTAAAGTGTTTGGGGTTTTGGGTTAAGGTTTATGGTTTAGGGTTACGGGGTTATGGGGTAGGGGGTTTGGGGTTAGGGGGTTACGGGGCGAGGGGCTAAGGGTTAAGGGTTAAGGTTTAAGGGTTAGGGGTTTAGGGGTTAGGGAGTTGGGTTTATTGTTCTTTTGTTTCTTTTGCTCCACCTCTTCATCATTCTTCTCCTATTTTTTCCCCATATTGTTGTTTGTTATCTTTTAGATTTTTATTTTTATGTGCGTAACTAATATAATGCATCATTTGATTTCAGTTGTTTGTGGAATGGATGCATACTTATGAAGGTATAAGAAGAGTTAAACGAGATAAGTTTGCAAAGCGAGTTTATGAGTGAAAAGATAAGTATATTTATTTGTCCTACTTCCATTGATTTTCTTTTACATTTAAAATGTGTTTTACACATGACTATTTTTACTTCTTTTTGTGTTTCTTACATGTTATAATCATTGTTTCTATTATTTCAATCCCCAACATTTTCATTATCTCATAGTTTTCTTTTCATTTTTTGTTGTTATTTTCGTGTTTTACACAAACTATAATTGTATAGCATTTCTTTAATTATATGTGTTTTGTTTAATTTTCTATTAGATAAAATATGTTTTATTTATTTTTTTATTATCTTTCTATAAAAATTGTTATATGTTGAAAAAAAAAATTCAATTACTTGGAGATAGAGCAAAAGGTTAAAGCATGGAGGAATAGGAGTTTGTAGCATGTAGAAGACACTAAAAGAATATAGAATTTACATAGGGTTTAAGGCTTAGGGCTTTCGGGGCTTGGGACTTATGGATTTTTGGAGTTTTGGGTTAGGAGTTAGGGGTTAGGGATTAGGGATAACGGATTAGGGGTTAGGGATTAGGGATTTGGGTTTATTGTTCTTTTGCTCCACCTCCTCATTATTCTTCTCCTATTTTTTTTCCTTTATTGTTGTTTGTTATCTTTTGGATTTTCATTTTTATGTGCGTAACTAACTTAATATGTGCTTTGATTTCAGTTGTTGGTGGAATGAAGGAGATAAATTTGCAAAGTGAGTTTACGAGTGAAAAGATAAGTATATTTATTTATCCTAATTCCATTAGTTTTCTTTTACATGTAAAATGTGTTTTACACATAACTATTTTTACTTCTTTTTTGTGTTTTTACTTGTTATGATCATTGTTTCTATTATTTTCAATCTCTAACACTCTCATTATCTCACTGTTTCCTTTTTATTTTTCGTGTTTTACACAACTTATAATTACATAACATTTCTTTGATTATATGTGTTTTGTTTGCATTTTTATTAGATAGATTATGTTTTATTTTTATTTTTATTATCTTTCTATTAAAATTATTAAATGTCATAAATAAAATTCAATTACCTGGACAAGGAGCAAAAGGTTAAAGCATGGAGGAAAATTAGGAGTTTGTAGTACGTAGAAGATACTAATAGAATATAGAATTCAAATAGGGTTTAGGGTTTAGGGCTTAGGGCTTTGGGGCTTGGGTTTATGAGCTATCAGACTTACGGGCTTTTGGGTTAAGGGTTAGGGTTAGGGGTTAGGGGTTAGGTGTTAGGGGTTAGGGGTTAGCTGTGACACCCCAAAATCCGGGGGTCCGTTGATTACCCATCAACCCGCGGAATACCCGTAAATACCGAGTGACTCGATATCACACCGTTATGTCCCATTTACCGAGGTCCATAACTTAACAAAATTTGGGCAGAGTCTCCTTTGTACAGGGAACTCTACCCAATACCCAACCTGTGCAACATAACTCACATGACCCATCTGAGGCCCAATATAAACAATGACCGCACCGGGTCCATTTATAAGTAAACATTGACCACACCGGGTCCAATTATCCATATTTATAGCAAAACATGCAAGGTTACTTTAACATTAGTGCATATATGTAATAGTTATCATTTAAATCCACCAAGGTCTAATAAGCCTCAATATACCTCAATTAGTGTCCATTTGTATCCTTGGAAC